GCCTGGTGCCCATAGAGCCTAGCTAGAGGGTTGGCAGTCGCGGATTGTGCAAATAACGGATCCTGTGCCAGCCTCACGGTGTAATCGTCATTAACTACAATGCAAAGTTTTGTAGTTCTCTGTGGCTTGGCCCTGATCCAGGAGACCTCCAGACCCGAGGGCTTCGCTTCATAGCTAAATGCATCTAGAGCCACCACTAGGGTTTCCAGAGACAGATAGAATAACATCGTCAGCAAAGTCGGGTCGGTAACCTCTATATTGCCCAGAAGCTCTACTCAGTATGCATGAGTTGAAAAGCGTTGGTGCAAGAACAGAGACTTGCCTCATTCCAGAATGAACAGGCCCCATCACACTTTACAGCACTTCCAGTACCAAGTATATAGGCTTGCTATTAGGCTAATAATCCATAATCCAGTCTCAGGATCTCCCAGAGTGATTCACGATGCGCCATATCGAACGCCTTTTTAGGTCGCACTCACGACGGCGCTCTATAATGACTCAACGCGCCAGGTTACAGTCTATTGTGGACTTGCCAGGAGGGAATCTCGGATTCCCCCGGCCTTTGGTGCCTCAGTGGCGATCTCTGGCATGACTCGGAGGATGTGAACGAGAACCTTACCTGATAATAAGAGCGTAACAAGAATAATGTGTCACAGGAAAGTTAAGATGTCACATGAAAAGGTTTTAGTAACTTGGGATTTCTCAGGATTAGCGAGTTCAGTAGAGTACTATCATAATGTAGAGATAAAAAATTAATAAGTAAGAATTTCATATCTTCGGACTAAATAGGCTTCGGCCACACTGAGGCAGGGGGCCAGAACTTCATTTTACCATGCGCGTCTGGAGCGCTTCAATTGTAACCAGTTTACTTAGATTTGCGAAGACATGCTTCGCCCGGGCCTTTTCTCTAGAGTGTCCCGGCTTGTATCAACTATTACTAGTTAACTCATGTGTTTTCTTTGAACTGTATGCTTATCGTGGTGACTGAATTGCAAGCAAGCGGTCCAGCTGCCACGGAGTAGGCTTAGAATTTTTGTGTTCACAATTCTGCAAGTAATGTAACAGGGTGGTGTTAGGCTCTCCGCAGTGTTTGCATAATCTGGCACTCTCGTCATCAATAATTTGCCAAGCCCATGGGGAACCTAGTCTTAATCTGTGTAGCATGGCCTCGGTACCTCTTTTTGTATTTGGAGGAAGGGCCAGTGGCTCATAGCCTGTAGCATCTGAGTACCACTTGGCAGCAAGCGAATTTATGACATTTTCTTTATGTGCTCCCCGGAGGACTGCAAATGCTGTAGCTTTGGTACTTTGGCTTAGTCTCCTTCGGCTTAGTTTAACAATCATGGAGGATGTGGCATACCCCTGCCCTTTTTGGCTAATCTGTCAGTTTTTGATAAGTCTTCTACCCTGACCGAGTATTCTTTGGGCTATGGTCTGTGCAGATGTCAGAAGGTAGATGTTGTCTTGGGGCATGCTATGCTGTAGACTGTAAATGGTTGCTCTAGAGTCTGTGTGAATGACCGCGTGTCCAACCCCTAGGGACGCGTGTGTTAGGTCTTCCATGATCGCAACTGTCTCAGCATGGAGCGTTGAGACATTATTAGTGACCCTAATGGATGCTATGGTATCCCTTGTTGCGAAGCCGACGCCTACAGTGTGGTTTATAGGATCCACGGATCCATCCGTGTAGTAGGTTATGCTACCCGGAAGAGTTATTTGAGCAATGACCTTTTGTGCTTGTGCCCTCAGGGTGAGGGGAGTCCATGCCTTAGGCAAGCAGTGATTCTTTTAGCTGGAAACGTATCAATACTCTGGCTGTGTGTGTGAGCCAAGAGTTGTCCGCAAACAGCTGATAGTCTTGCTGTAGGCGTCTGAGTACTCTTTGTCTTAAGTATGAGTTTCTGGGTGCCTGCAAGACCTTGGAAAGGAACTATGCTGCCATTAGATCAATTCGGGTGTCCAGGGACGGCAAATCAGCCTCCATGAGGAGGTTGATGACCTTTGTCCATCTGGGAGCTCCCAGAATGATCCTGGCTGCTTTATTTTGTATTGTTTCCAGTTTTTCTTTTAATGTACTGGAAGCAATGAGGACGACAGATGCATAGTCAATAATAGGACAGATAGCATGTTCATAGAATGATCTCAATAATTTGTGTCCCGCTCCTATGTGTCTCCCTGTCATAACTTTCATGACTGACAGTCTTTCCTTGGTTCGGTCGAGCAGGTATTGGATCTCCTTTTTGAAAGTGAGTGTGTGTCCTATCCATACACAAAGGTATAGGTAGTCTTTTACCCATTCCAGATACATGCCATGAACAGTGAGTTTTTCGTTTCTGACATTAGTTCTCAGAGCCATAGCTTTTGATTTTGTTGCCGAGATTTTTAGACCCGTCCTACAACACTCTTCAGACAGCACTGACCTCTTGTTAGGTAGTGGTTGCCAGAGGCTATGATTACCAGGTCATCTGAATCAGAGATGATCTTGCATCCCTCTGGCATGTTGGACATGAAGGTGTTGAAAAGGGCAGGATTAAGAACCCCACCCTGGGGCGTTCCATTCTCAAGTGGTATGTGCTGTAAGAGGTGGCCTTGAAATCTGACATTTGCTAATCTATTTTTAAAATAGTCATCTATCCAGGCCAAGAGTCTGCCATTGACTCTCTTGTGGATTAGGGTCTCCTGAATGGCAAGGGGACTTGCCAATTCAAAAGCCTTCTCCAAGTCTAGGAAGACAAGTGCATATTGAGCTTAAAAGGATGGAAATGCTGTGCGCTGTGTTCTTACCGCTTGTTTTTCCCAGGCAGCTGAGGACAGAGATGGGACGGTACTTGCCTGGCTCCTTTGGTTTGGGATGGGAACTATTATGGCTTGTTTCCAGCTCTGGGGCAGTGTGGCAGTTTGCCATGACTTGTTGATGAGTTGCAAGAATGCAAGTTCTGCCAGTCATAAGTGCGAGATGGTGGGGTGGGAGATCCCATCGGATCCCGGTGCTGAACCAGTGCTGGTTTTGTAAGTATTTCTTAGTTCCCTGAGAGAGAACAAGGCATCTGAGTCATCAGGCGAGTGCATGAGATAAGTTATTCCAGACCAAAAGTCTTGTGATCCCGGATTGCTCCAGTGCTGGTTTTGTAAGTATTTCTTAGTTCCCTGAGAGAGAACAAGGCATCTGAGTCATCAGGTTCGAGTGCCTTGCCTCTGATGAGAGCAAGCCTGCCTGGATTTAGGTTTTGCTGTTATCCCTTTGTTGCTGCTGGTTCTGGCTGAGAACTCGAGCACCAGCCTGTGAGCCTCTGACTGTCGGTCATGATGCATGCATTTCGGGACTTGGTGGCTTGTCGCTTGCCTGACCTGCTTCCACAACTCTGTAAGGCTGGTCTGGTGGCCAAAAGTCTGGACCATTCCAACCACTTTTCCTGCCTTACTCTGTTGGCAGTTTCCTTGGCATCCGCAACAGCTTCTCTCAGGAGGGCTCTTTGATCTCATCATTATAGTACTAGGCGTCTTTCTGAGTTCTGGACCATGGACGAATTTTGGGGATGGTTTGTGATGCGGCCTGATTTATGGCTTGGATTAGCCTTGCCTCTAGCACGTCCACATTTTTATAATTGCGGGGTTCATTGTCTCTCAGACAGCGGGCCAACTTTTCTGGAAGGCTAACCAGTTGGCCTTGTCTGTTTTCCATTTAGGAATGTGGTGTGGTCTTTGGGCTAGACCGGCATCCATGAGGGTGGTGACTATGCCATAGTGATCACTTGTAACCGTATCATCGACACACCACCGAATTCTCTCCACCATTGTTGCAGTGGCAAAGGTAAGGTCCAGGACCCCTCCCTTCACATGCGTTGGTTCTTAGGTGTTGAGAAGAGCAATCTCTGGGGATATGATTCAAGAGATTCAACGCCGTCTCCACAGTGCTTCGGATTGGCTATTAAGGAGCACGGGATTGCTTCTTTTACCAGGGTCATCAGGCCTCTAGCACCATCCAAATTTGGAGTGGTGAAGACGTGATAGCCTGAGAAGCAAACAGATCCCATAGTGTCTCCTGGAACATGACGTCAATGCTCCTTGCTCGCACTATTGACTGGAGAAAGGAGTTTATTCTATTACAGCTACAGATATTCCACTGTAGAATGCTTAGATTGTGCGCCATGATGGTTACTCAGTCACTTACATCGTACTCGTCTCCAGCTTCAGAAGCCCCAGTGCTGGTGGCATCTGATATGTATAGATCCTCGTTGATTGAGGATCGTACATCTTCTTCCAAGTGGTTTGGCACTCTGGTTAAGGGTCTACCGGGAGAAGTAGAGCCTAGATTAGAGGTGCCACCTCGAGTCAAGGGACCAGACCTTGGCCGTACAAACTCGGCCTGTAGTGAGGGCAACCATTACACAGTTACATTCTGGTCTGACAGACTAGCTGGGGTTTCACTTGTTGTCTCCCGAATCTAGCTTGCCATTCGAAGTTCCTTTTATGGTAAACTTCAAGCTTCTCCTTCAGGACTGCAACAGTCTGGGTCAATGCCGTCATGGCGAACTGGACTGCCTTCTCCGCCTCCTCACTGGTCCTCCCCACGGTTGTTGCTACTGCAGAAACTACAGCACTCAACAGGAGAGTCATATCCTTCTTGTCGAAGAAAAGGTTATCTGCTGGGGAGACCTTTGCTGTGGCTTTTGAACCTTTTTTCTTTAGGTTCTTCTTCTTACCACTAGCAAGCCTGGGGAATTCCTCTGGATTGGAGGTATCCGGTTTTCGCTGGGGAGGTGTCTCCTTCCTCTTAGGAGGTTGGGGAGTCTTTTCCCTTTTGTTTTGTCCCCAGACATAGGTGCCTGGGGGCGCTGGTATAAAGTCAGGATGCTTTTTGGCTTGCTCCTGCTTTTTGAGGACTGCCTGTTTCCTGACAGACCAAGCCAGGCTCCAGACATGATGCCTCTTGGCACAGTTTGGCCACTTGGCAATTGTGTCCTTCTGGCCATCTTTGTGTGCCTTGATACACATCTATTTCATATGCCTTGCTGCACACCATATTTGGCTTTGGCCTTGCAGTTGGCCTGGTGGTGCCCAAATGTTTGGCATGTGAAACACCTCAAGGGCTCTGGCATGTATGTCCTGAGCTTATACGAGCGCCAGTTACCCAGATTAAGGGTGGTGATTGGGGTTCCCTTGAGGGTGACCAGGACTTGCCTGGTTGGAGACTTCCCTTTGGACAGGCGGGAAGCCTCCACCACTTGAGGGAGAGACATGATCACCTCCACGTCAAACCCTAGTGGAAAACCAAGTAGCACCATCTTGGTTCTTTTCTCTTGGGAGGTCAGTGGTGAGACACTTTTCTCCCATCTTTGAGCACCTTGGTTTCCTGCAGGAAACTTAGGGAGGCTTTCTCTTTGGGCCCGATGATCATGCCCTCGTCTCTGGCAATTCGGATTGATAGGCGGATTTGCCTTTCCTTTTCCAGTGCCCTAACTAGCTGGTTATCATTCTCAAAATTTTCAGGTTTCTTTGGTACCTTAAAGTGTGTGAACTGGTTTGGGATGGGTTGAGACTCCCTCAGAGTCCGTCTCCAACCTGCGTCGCTTCGCACCTCCCCTTTGATGGGGTTTAAGGCCTTTGATTGTGAGGGCAGCTGATTTGGCTGGTTCAGCTTGGACCCCTGTTTGACTAAGAATTCTGAGGAGAGGTCAGATTTCTCTCAGTTTGGGCTACAGGCCTGGAGAGGCCAGCCCTTGTGTCCAACTGCTGTACTATTTCATGGACAGACTTTGTTGGAGGTGATTTTTATGTCTTATCCATTTTCTTAGCTGTCCGCCAGCTTGGCAGACAGCTCCTCCTGCTGTTAATAAGCTGCCACCTTCATGGCGGACAGCTCCTCCTGCTGTTGGTCAGCTGCCGCTTTCATGGCACACAGCTCCTCCTGCTGTTGGTCAGCTGCTGCCTTCATGGCAGACAGATCTTCCTGCAGTTGATCAGCTGCCGCCAACTTGGCAGACAGCTCCTCCTGCTGTTGGTCAGCTGCCACCTTCATGGCGGACAGCTCCTCCTGCTGTTGGTTAGCTGCCGCCTTCATGGCACACAGCTCCTCCTGCTATTGGTCAATAGCCACCAACTTGGTGGACAGCTCCTGCTGTTGTTCAGCTGCCGCCTTCATGGCGGACAGCTCCTCCTGCTGTTGGTCAGCTGCCGCCTTCATGGCAGACAGCTCCTCCTGCTGGTCAGCTGCCGCCAACTTGGCAGACAGCTCCTCCTGCTGTTGGTCAGCTACCGCCTTCATGGTAGACAGCTCCTGCTGTTGGTCAGCTGCCGCCAACTTGGCGGACAGCTCCTCCTGCTGTTGGTCAGCTATCACCTTCATGGCAAACAGCTCCTGCTGTTGGTCAGCTGCCGCCAACTTGGCGGACAGCTCCTCCGGCTGTTGATCAGCTGCCGCCTTCATGAGAGACAGCTCCTCCTGCTGTTGGTCAGCTGCCACCCTCATGGGGGACAGCTCCTCCTGCTGTTGGTCAGCTGCCGCCTTCAT